TAGCTCTGGGAGTATTTTGGGAGTTAGTGGTCTCGGTGATCCGGTGCCTTTTCTAGTTCAATACAGCAGACTCGCCGAAAATAACGAGCAATTTCGCCGGTTTTAAATTTTGGTCCAGTAATTCAACTTCCGACCGGACGCGCGACAGACTTCTCTGTCATTTGACCGGAGATTGACCGGAGGTTGACCGGTCGAATGACAGACGGACCCTCCAATTGTCCGGAGGGCCCCAACCTCATATAACTGGCCTGTGGCCATACGTGTACCAATATCCAGCCTGTGCAGCTCAGCGCGCCGAGCCTGCCAATGACGACGGTCGAGCCCCGGCCAAAAAGCCGAGCGCGCGCTACATGCTCACTTTGGTCAAGCTCCATTTAGCCGGAAGATTCAGCCGCGCATGGTGCATGACGGTTTATTGCCTGATGCTAAGTTGGACTCAGCTATACTTGGAGCTCGCTGGCACATAGTCAAGTTATAGTGACTATACCTAAACTATATGCGTAGTCTATATCATTACTTCCGACCGTAGCGCTGTCACTACCAAGCTCATGATGTGTTGCACAAACTTACTATAGCTGCCTCGCGAAATTCGCCGCACCCATCATGCGTGAAGCTTGCATAAAGATCTGCGTCAGATGCGCTGATCTGCTAGGCTACGATACGCATCATGTGTCTTATGTTAACATTGGCAGACACCTGATCAATCGATTCGAAGTTGATCGATACAGTGAGTCGGACAGCATTGGACGGCGCTGGCTTGACTGAGCAATGGCCCGTTCAGATCTTGGCGAGCACAACTCGCTCAATCCGATCAAAAGATAGATTGTGACTCTCGTCACTTCATATTCGATTTGGCAACGACCTGGTTGGTTTTATTGATTGGCCGCTTGTCCCGTCCCCTTCAGCGTGAGCGCCTCTGTTGATTGTAAATGTCAACACTGAAGATAAATCTTGGACATTGGCTATAGCTGACGCTAGACTCGATTTTATTCGAGAACGAAGCCGGCTGAATTGTTCGATTGGAATTGGATCACGGGGAATCCAAGAAGAATAGCTGTACACAATTGGCTAGCACTGGCTCGCAGTTGCTAACCCAACACGCGCGCGGTACCCCTCGCGCTAACCAAGCGAGCTCCGCACCATCTCGTATGCCAAAAAGGCGGCCGCGTTTGCTGGAACGCTGCGCGCCATTGCGGGGCCGAATCCTCGGTAGAGCCCCTTCACACCCTCCGACGCCAGAATCTTCCGGGCCGCGTCAATCGTTCCCGAATATTTTGGGTTCTTAAAATCGTCAATCTGCACAAGACTCTTGATCACGTCCGTGGGGTAGACTGTGGCCCAGAACATGGCCCCGCCGACCCCCCCCGCCACGAGCAGCGACCCCGTTCCCAATTTGCTCGTATCCTTTCCCCCGGCGAGAAGCTGCTTCGTATACTCGTACGCGCCGAACATAAATGCGTTCCCCGGGACCTCCCGCAGCAGCGTCGGGACCAAGCCCTTATATAAGCCGATGACCCCGCGCTCCGCTTGCAACACATGGCGCGCCACGTCGATCGGGCCGTTGTACCGTAGTGTCTTGATCTGCACCTCGGACGTGCCACCTGTCACGCCAGCCAACGCGGCTGCCGGGCCTTGGGCCTGCGAATCAAGAAGAAAGGCGCAGATAAGCAATGGTGTTGTGGACACGACATCGAAGGGGGCTCGTTCGACGGAACCTGTGCCGTTCTTTAAACCGGGTTGCTTTTCGCTTCGACGAGATTGCTCGGCCAAAGACCATTGTGGTGGGTCTGATTGCAAGGAAGACCTGTCAGTCAGTGGAGCTGTTTGAAGCAAGCAAATCGTAACTCAAAGACATACTGTCAGATTTGGGGATTATGTCGGAAAACGAACAATAACCTCAAAGACTGACCCACTCCGTAATTCTCTTCTTGACCTCCGAGGAGATGCGGCAAGGCGATTCGAACAGCCCGGACAGCTCAACGACGAGCTTGACATCACTTAGCCATGATGCACCGTCGAAAGGCTTAGCTGGTAGGCGCGTTTTCCACAGAATGTCAATCACAAATTTCCGCAAAAGGAGCTTCCGTTCCATGCAGTGAAAAGGAACACCTATAAGGCAAGCCCCCCCTTCTTTGGGATCGGTTGCGAACGACAACACTTGGAGAGAACAAGCGACAGAAATTTCATCGGTTCATCTTCCGTCAAGGAGTATAGTTTTACTAGTGATTGTTATCTGGTCACGCTGAAGAACGTGTCAACCACGTTTCTATGAAGGATCTCAGATGGGTGCATTTTCGACCAGCACTTCATGTTGCCATGAGGCGCACCCCGAGCGCCATGCCGAATCCTCTCCCGAAACTTTCCGCCAAAAGCCCAAAGAGTAGCTAAATGCAAAACAAATTATGAATTTACCAGCCTGCACACAATCAGTTCCGTCGGGCACACCACACGCGCCGCGCCTAACCCCGTCCCGGACACCGCCAAGAAAGGTACGTTAAACATGACGTAGTTAAGACTCTAACCCACCTGTAACCTGCACTTGATCAGTTCCGTCGGGCACGCCACGAGCTCCGCGCCTACCCCCGCCTTGGAGTCCACCAAAAAAATCCGGATCACATCCGTCAGGATTTGACATAGTTACGACTTAACCCACCTGTAACCTGCACTTGATCAGTTCCGTCGGGCATGCCACGAGCGCCGCTCCCACCCCCGCCCCGGACCCCGCCAGAAACTGCTGCCCCACTGTCAATTGCTCCCCCGGTTTGCTCCTCAGCAGCGACTCCATCTGTCCCCTCACTGTGAAAAGCACGGCGTTGAAAACGGCCACCGTCGCAAGGGGGGCACCCATCCCCTTGTAGAGCCCCTTCGTGCCTTCGGCGGCGATGGTTTTTTTGAGCGCATCGATGGCCCCCGTGAATTGCGGTTTCTGCAAGGGAAGGTATGAGCGTGTGAGTTCCGCAAAAGTTCCGGAACTGAAACTCTCGACGTGCAAGAGCGTGGTGGTAAGCTTAGCTTAAGGTCCACGATATCTTGAGCTCACGACCTGACAGTCCTCCAGTGGACAGCACTTTGCCGACGAACGGAAGGTGAGGCATTAAGAACATTCAAAAAGGAGAGAAACGTCGGGCGGAAGATCTGGTTGACATTACGGTGCTGCAATCAATGGCTCGGGGTGGCTTTATTGGTAGGTCGATGATGTAAGCTATGGCATGTCAGCAAACCTTAAAACTGGCAGCATGTAAGGATGTGGTACGACGCTTGACAGCGGACCAATACGGTACTCAATTGACGGGCTATCTAGGGGTTCGGGGTTTTGGGGTTCTAGGGGCAGGAGGGGAACGTATTTCAGACAACAGAGAATTCGTTTCCAGTGTGCGCCTCTTTGATGAATGGCAGCTCAGGTCTTCAATTGTCGAAGGATAGGATAGAAAGAGAGCTGCTGACAACTTTTCTCAAGCGGTTGGTACTTCAGTCCGGACTGGAGGCGAGGCGAGCATACTTGAAAAGCCATTGACCAATCTGTGATCTGGTTGACGAAAGCAGTGGACTGAATGACACAGCTACTTGCGACTCGTAGCTGGTGAAGGAGAGGTCATCCCGTCATTAAAGAGAGGCAGCAATTAAGCTGCCAACCCTCGACATTTGCGCTGCACAACTGTTGCGCTCTTCTGAAAGGTGCTACTGGCGATGCTCCATACCTCAAGCTTTTTTCTTATGCGGGTTTCCTCACGTAGTTTGAAACAGATTATGACCCTGTCTTAGTCAGTCTCAGCTGATGTGCATCTGAGAAAATTCAGAAGACTACTCTCCTTGTCCTACGTCTCAGGCAATGCTGTTGGTGCTACGAACCGCTCGCAACACCCTGATGCATGATCAAAACTGACTGGATTCCGCTTTCCGTACTGAGCGGTGCCCTATCAAAAGGTGGCGGTGCGTGGCGCCAGATCCATGTCTCCAGCGGCACCAAACTCTGAAGTCCTTATGGTGACGAAATTGAGATGACACACTCGTACCGCAAACAATTTTTCGCATTACCACTGGCAGATGTGAACACGGTTTGCACGGTTTGCACACACCGTGCAAACACTGGAGAATATCTGCCTGTTGATTCTCCATTTCTTGACATAGATCTCATGCAAGCCGTAAATCAGATGGCGCAGTCTTACCTCTCCCGGCAGCGGGTTTGGTTGGCTTTGCAGTTTGACCTTGATTGTATCTGCAAACACACCCAAAGCATCAGACTGCTGATTCTGTGCCCTCTACAGATCTCTGCCGCTAGACGCATCAGATCTCAATAATAAAGCATCTAAAACTCGAAATATTCTCGAATTGCAGAAGACTGCCGTAGCCCTCTGACAACTTAGACCTGGACTGGTACTGACCGAATGGATGCCCCACTAAGAGCTGAGCCACGCCCGCAAGCGTTCCGGCTGTCAGGTCCTTCACGAACACACTCGAGCTGCTTTCGCCAGTTTCGCCGCCCATGCTTTCTCGCCTTATTATTCCGCGAAGTGTTGACAACCCTCCACACTCGACACGCAATTACAGAATACCAAAGTGGCGGTAAATGCTCCCACAAGAAGGACGAGATCTACTGAATGCCGTGCTGTAGCAGGTCGAAAGGATTCGTTCGGAAGAAATTCTTCGTGCTAGTGCCACTGCTAGTGTATTACCTACGGTAGATCAGATTCAGAAGGTTGCAAGCAGCCTGATGCAATGATCCACAATGCAGAACCCTAATTTTTGAACCCGGTACGTGCCGGTACGTAACTGGTTACTGACTCCATGACCAAGCTCGCATGATCAGCTAGCTTTTCAATGTTCAAACGTGGACGTAGCACTTCTCCAAATCGATTTTTGGGTACATGACGGATTCATTGACGCCATTTATTTGAGACAGCCGTTAATGCCCTCCTCTGAATGCAAGCTTGTGTTCATAAAAAGTGCTGGCAATCTAGGCGACACTTTTTGGGTACTTGAGCTTCCACTGAGTTCTGAATTTGAAGCGCGGCGCCGGCGTCGTAGTATAGGTAGCCTAGGTACACTTTTTGGCGGTAAATTCTGGTGGTTGACTGAGCAAACGGTCGCTGAGATGCGTGACGTAATCAAGAGAAGAGACATAAGCTATGGTTAAATCCACACGGCTATACTGCACTTCAAAAATAGGTACCTGCGATAGTACCGTACACTAAAAGGTACTTATGCCACACCAGGTACGTACCGTAGTCCCATCGGCCAGGCTAGATACCGGTAGGTACAGTGTACCAGGTAGGTACCTTAGGTTACAGGTACCTGCTTCATACCTTATGCAAAGTGGCAGTACGTACCAAGTTCTTACGTCGGTACCCTTAGTTTTGCGGCCGTGTGCAACGCCACGTACGGTGCATCCAACCGTACTCCCAGTACTGGATCCTGCTCAGTTTATAGCCCCAGGATCATGTGGGGCCGTGGGCTTTAGGCCAATCAGGTTGCGTAATTTGATTGTCCAAATCTGACGCTGGGCCACAAGTTTCTTTCACCCTGTCACGCCCGGGTGAACGTGGGCCACCAGCTTTCCATTTGAGCCACAGCCTCGTGAAGTTCTGACGTGAGCGGACCGCACGCTCGAACAGATTCGCTGATTTGGTTTGCTGGGCCGGGAAGGGCCCAACTTCCAGTTTCTCAACTTCCATATTGTTTGCTCGGTACATTCTACCGGGTAACCTAATCGGATTTGGTGTCAAGAACAGTGGTTTCATCCCAGCCTGTTGATTTGAACACCATTGTGGATATGCCTGCCTGAAGGGGAACCGTGTAACCTCCACTTTCAAAAGGCGCGGGCGATGTCAGGAAGCTCTGGGAAGGAAAGGCAATCTGGGCGCTAGCGTGCGAAAGATGTGCTGATTTGCCTCTATGGAAGCGATTTGGAAAACGCAGCAACTACGTTTGAAGGAAGGTGTGCAAGAGAAGGCTAGGAGCTGATTTGATAACGCTGTGAAGAGGTCATGAGCAGTGCTTGACGTGGCTGTCTGCGTCGTGTCGCGACGGTCGTATCGAGGAAAGGTTTGGAACGGTGCAGTCCTTGGGAGCACGTAGGACCTTATCTGCTTCTGAGTTCTGGGCCATTTGCAAAGAGCGGTAGGGATATATCCTGAGAAGGCAACAGGGGACATAATCAAAGTTTGTACAAGGAAGAGAGAGGCAGGAGAGTTGAAATTGTGTTAGCTGGAGGTTTGAATGTGCTGGTGACTAGAGAATGATTCTCAGGCAGAGGGCTAGTGGAACCTAAGCGCCAACATGTCGAGTTGGGGCTACGTGGATCAGAGGGATGCAAACCTCAATAGCTTCACAACAGTGAGCCGCTTTGCCTTTGCCGTTGCTATTGTCTGGGTTGGTTTCCTTTTGGCAACTTAAGTCTGGGGGGTATGCTTAAGTCAAATTTTTCACTGTTGTATGTCCAGCAAAAGGTTGATGTGAGCGGGGTTTGGTTTCTGGGGTTTGAGTATTGGCTTCAGCTCGGATGTGAAACAATACCTTCCTTGAGCTGTATGTATAATGGAAGTGCACAACAGAACGTTGAACCTTGCAAGATGAGCAAAGTTGCTTGTAGGGACCTGAATTTGAAACAAATAGCTGGAAGCACAGTTCTGATGCTGCTGCTGATTTGGAAGCTGTGGATTGCGTGCATTGCCGTATTGGAAGGGGGGCAAGGGGAGGGAGGGGGAATCTTGTGGGACGGGGGAACATGGTATGAATCAATTGGCTTTTCGTCATAGGACCAAGCCCTGCTCTGTGCTCTAGGAGCTGTCCCCTTGAGCTTCTTCCAAAGTTATCTTATAGAAGGGGGTCCTTGATTCGTGGAATATCCTTGGGGTGGAAAGGGGTGAGCGCAGACAGATACAGAAGAGGTTGGCGAGTTCAACAAGCAGAAGGAAGGGGGCCTTGATATTTTAGCAGGTGGTGCAAGAAGGACCCCTACATATAGCCTGCACTAGAGTTGCTTATACTATCCTCAGGCCTCAGAGTTTGTTGAGTTCTCCAAGCTCAACACCCTGATTTTCGGGTCGGATCGTAGGCAAAATTAAGGGTCTGGGGTTCGATCTGAGGAACCTTGAGATTGAGCAAGGGGTATGTAGCGAATAGACCACAGCTTGAGTCTGTTTCATCTGCCCTGAAGACGGACATCTCTTGAAGTTTCGCAGTGATAAGATTGATGCACATGGCCTTGCATGCGAATGTGTGGCCTTCTTAAACTCTATGGTTGACAATCTGACCTTTGGTTCCGAGCCTATGTTTCTTGGCTTTGAGCTGGCTTTAATGGAATGCCTTTGTCTCGTTATGTCTGCGCATGCCTTCATTCTTCGATCGAGGGAGTGCTTGTCTGGAGGTTAGTTCTTTTGTTATTGCAAAGCAGGGCTAGGTTGCACGCAGAGCAGAACTGGAGAGCTGGAAATGGTTGGGCATTGCTCACAGCGGCATGGGCATTGCTGGTCCAAGTCTGCTGTGAGCAAGCTTGACATAGCTGCTGCCTTTGGTTGGCAGGAGGTTTGATTGGAGGGCAGTCAAAGGGGTCTTAGCATGCCCCCAATGTGGAGAGGCAGGCAGGCAGAGAGGCCAACCTAAGAACCCGCATCATGTGGATAGGAGGATGCTAGGTGAATTGAGCGGAAGTGAAGTATATAAAGTCTAGACGGGGGTGCAGTTGAAGTAAAAGGGGCCGAGTCTCCTTAGATCATGTGACTGAGCCAGGAAGAGAGGGTGAATATGCAGCTTCAAGAAGCGCAATCTGCCAGCAGAGACTCTGGACTTGGGTTGACATCTTCAAAGGTTCAATGAAAGGAGCCAGTGACACTTGTTGTTGATCTCTTAATGTTAGATTGGGTCGTCCTTGGGAGACTGAAACCAAGACACAAACATCTGAAGCCTGAGCTAATGTTATTTGACTGTTTCACCAACCAAGAAGTGTTGTTCTGTGCAGTTTGACGATGACCTGGGATGGGACGGCTTTGAGGGAACGAGCTCCGACGGCATCGTGCCGGATCGCGAGAGCCCCCCCTTGGAGATTCGCAAGGGGAAACGCTCTTCCCGTAGCCGATCTGCCAAGTTCGCCCCCCCAGACCAGCGGTCACAAAACCCAAAGAGCAGTTCAGCAGACGAATGGGAGGGGGTGCGGACTCCCTCTCTGAGCCCCCCCCTGAGCCTTGGGAATGGCAGCAACTCTGGCCTTGTGCCGAGCGTTTTGGATGAGGGGTTTGAGGGATCAGGGGCAATCACGGATGTTGTGGGAGGAAGCTTGAAGGGGGAGGTTGACATGCGGCTGCCCTCGGGCTCGTTCACACTGGACAACTTGGGGTCAGGGGACCTGGTGGGAATGGGCCCTGGAAAACGGTTGTCGGGGGCTGTGGACTACGGATATGAGGGGCTGGGAGACATGGATGTTTGGTTCAAGTAAGTAATCACTTTCTGCTTGATCAACAGGCTTCTTTGACTGCAAGCTTGTGGGCTAAAGGACAAAAGGGGCATAGAGGCGAGCCTTGCGATCACTGGTAGTCAAATGGTACTCTTGCACTCTGAGCCCGCAAGGATGTTGTTGCTTCAATGGTTGAAATGTTGATACGGGGTTGAGGAGTTTTCTATTGAAGTTGGTTGGTGGGAGACTCCAATGGGGGATTGCATGTGACGTTAGAATGAGCCGAGACAGAATAATCAGGCTACTGGGAAGTTGATCGTTAGAGCCCGCACTACAGCAATGAATTCCTAAGCAGCGTGCATGCAGAAGGGCATTGTTTATAAGCAAAGCTTCAGGTGCCTTGCGTGTGTAGAAGCGGATGAAAGCGATTAGGCCTTGTCAGACGATCCGGTGAAGAAGCATAGGAAGCTCACTTCTATGATTTGGGGAGTTGAGAAAGCGAGGGGCTTGGAGGGTTGACATGTTCCGAGTGGACTCATTTAGTTTAGCAGGACTCTCTCTGGGCGCCAATGATCCCCTAGTGTGTAGGGTGTTCTTTAATGCGGATGATCCCTCTGTTTGCAGGGGCCCGGATACCAGCTCCGTTCCTTGGGAGCAGTCAACCCCCCTCCGTAACAGCCTCTCAAAAACAGACGTCAAAGTTGAGGATGATGAGGGGGACGAGCTAGTGGCTCAGGTGCTGAACGAAGACACGCCTTCTCCCCCCCATCGCGACTTCGACAGCGGGAAAGAGAACCAGAGCACGCTCACAAGCGATGAGAGCCAGAGCAACACGCTGTATCCCTTCCAGGATGAGAACCGCGATTGGGGAAACAGCACGTCAGGTGGGGAGGGTTCAGCGGGCTTCCGGCACCCCCCGAAAGGGGTGAGGAGTTTCCAGAACGAGAACGGGGGTGCGGACGTCAAACCAAATCTGGCGGGGGGTTTTGAGGGAGGGGTAATGAGCAGTGAGCTCAAGGAGAAGATGCAGATGCAACTGAACAGGGAGAAAGAGCGGATGAACCGGCAGATTCATCAGCAATTGGTGAAGCAACAGAAGGAGCGAGAAGAGCAGCTGAGGGCGCAACAACAGCAGGGGCAGCAGCTGTTTCGGAAGCAGGAGGCGGAGCGGCAGTTCCTGTACATGCAGGTGGGTGTTCCAGTTGGGTGTTCACAGTTGCTAAGCATATTCACACTCGCAGGTTGTTCAGCGCTGGCAGGCTTATAATACATCAGCAGTGCTTGTTGGCATACAAGGGTTTTGGTTATAGTTGGGTATTCACAACTGCTGGGCATATCCACACCCCCCGGAGGCTCATTGAGTTCTGGCAGGGCTTATTTACATCCACAGAGCTTGTTGTTGTACAAGGCTTTAAAAATCTGACACAGAAGTTGCTCTCTTCTACACCGCACGGCCTGTTGATGTAAGGAATTGGCAGTGGCAAAGCCTGTGAGGCTATTTCTAGGTTGGGCTTGTGCGTGCAACGGTGCCTGTCAAAGAATCAGGTTTGTGGAAGTCCTTTTCCTCTACCCATGTGTAGAAGCAATAGAGAGACTATCTCCCTCCCACAATCTCAATGCTTCTTAAAACTTTCGTAAACCCGGTTGTTTCTCCTCCCCAGCTCCTGTCATGCCTTCAAATTCCCATTTTGTCCGTTGATTGCCCTTCCCAAGATCTGAAATCCATTTGTATCTTTATAGTTAGTCTCAAAACTTGTCATATATCAGGGGCCCTCAACTGTACAGGACATAAAGCAGCAGCAGGCGCTAGGCCACAACCTCTGTAACCCCTTCTAACATCCCCTCAACAAGCCTCCAACTTGTGCGGTCGCCAAAACCACTCATCCCATTCCCTCCCACGAGCTTGAGATTCTCTTACATCCTCCTCGAACTTTCTTACATATCCGTCCCCCCTTCTCTCTGCAGGTACAAAAGCAGCAGCAGCAGCAACAAGCACTGGGCCCAATGGTCGGGACCTCCCCTGTGCCTCTGATTCCCGAAGCTAGCAAGGAGGACCTCGAAAAACTTTCGCTGGAGCTGTCGGCTGCGGAGCCTCGCCCGTACCCTGATCCTGCGGTGCTTGAGTTGCCGATGAGCGTGCCGAGCACGAGCGGAAGCGACGACCCAGCGGTGGGCCAGGATGATGCGTCGGTGAGTCTGTTTGTTGTTTATCATTCTTTTGATTGTCATTGTCAGAGCACCTTGATATCTCGAGATTCTGGAAACTTGTTTTGGGCGAGTTTGAACCAGAAAGTCAGCAGAATATGAGAACCAGATTGGTTGCACTTCAAACGACTCAAGAGTTTGATCGAAGATACTCAAGAAGCAGAAGTAAGAGCTCTTGGCAGGTCAACTCCACCTTTTGTTGGTTCAGTTGAAGTTCGATATGATTTCGGATTGAAAAGTGCATCTAGACTGTTGGAATGGTCGAAAAGTGTCGACGCCTGGTTGGTTGACAATGTCACGTCCGTTTTCCTGGCTACGAAATTGCTTGTTTGCTTCTTTGCTTCCTTCGAAGTTTGCAAGGGCTGTCCACCTACTGCAAAATTCCAAAATCAAGAGGTTCTTTGCATGAAAGGTCTCTTCATGCCCAAGTCCTCACACCATTTCTCTCCCTCCTCGAAACAGATCAAGCGCGCGCGGCGGCAGGCGGTTGCGCGGCGGCTCGAGCAGAACGGCAAGCGCGTCCCGAAGTCCCCGTCCTTCTCCAACCTCTCGAGCAAAGGCTCTTTCTCCCCGTCCCAACAAACCAGCTTCCATGCGCCGCCACCCCCGTCCCCAGTAACTCTTCCAGGGGGGGCGCTCCACCACTCGCCGCCCCTAAATCCGACCCCCCCTCCAGCAATGCCCCTGCGGCCGCCCCCCATCGTACTCCCCTCCGAGCCCCAAATGTTTCGGCCACCCCCTGGGGGGGTGACGGCCTCCCCAGTGCAGGGCTTGATACCCACCCCCCCAATGGGGGGGCCGAGCCAAGGGGGATTTCCTCCCCCCCAGTACGGTCAAAACGCCCGTCTGCAGCAGCAGCCCGGGCTCCCCCCGGGTCCACCGGCGTTCCGGCCGTCGATGTACTACCCGCCTCAGCAAATGGGGGGTGCCCAGGGCACGTATTTGTCACCCCCCGGAACGGGGCAGATGGCATGGGGGGGCAATGCGATGGTGGGCGTGGACCCCGGGCTGCAAGTCCCGGCGGACGACGACTCGGCGGAGGCGAACGTGTTTCGGGAGCTCGAAGGGGCGATGCGAACGGTGAGTTGAAAGGACATTATGGTTTTATTGCAGCTCTGTAAAAACGACGCTATCTCGCCTGTTTGCGCTTAAATTTAAACGTTTCAAAAATTTGCAATCAGCTGCTTTCAGTGAGTTAATGGCTTGGTTTCCCGGTTGCATTTTGTCGTCGTCGAGCGAGATGGAAGTACGTTTGGACCAATGCAAGGAGCGCTGTTGTGAACCTCATTTTTGTCGGTTTGGTGTCCCGGAGGCCGACTAAAGTGTTCAGCGATGGCTCAAGTTTTGAACACATCATCAACATCGAATCGTGGAACAAATTGCTCGTGATCAGGACGTTCTTTACCCTCTTTTTGCGCCATGGCCTTTCAGCACCTCAATTTGCAGAGAGTTTTGTGGAGGTCTTGCAAAGCCTTTCGACGTGGTTCTAACCCTGTGGCTCGCTCGTTTCCCCCCCCGCAGTTGGACGTCGGCATGCGGCTGACCCTGCGCGACTCGCTCTTCCGCCTCGCCGACTCCGCCAGTCAGCGCGCAGTGACGTCAGCAGCCGCATCCGCGAGCGGGAGCACTGCCGACACCACTCACTCCGGATCCAACACTCCGGGGGGGAACGGCGGCGAGAAGGAGAAAGTAACGCAAATGATCGATCGAGCGGTTGCGAACCTTCTCTACCACAAGCAGCTTGCTCCGAAGCCGGAAGAGCTCCCTCCCCCCCCGCAGCAGTGGGGGCCGCCGCAGAGCTTTTCGGGGGGGTACGGCAACGGGGCGCCCATGCAGCAGATGCCCCCCCCGGGCGGGCAGCCGATGATGGTGCCCGCTCTGGGGGGGATGAATTTGCCCATGATGAGCCCCCTCCCCCCGCAAGACTGGTACTGGCACGACACTGGACAGGGAGGGTCGCAGATGGTCTCGAACGCTCAGTTGGCGTTACCCCCCAGACCGAGTACGGGCCCCAGTAACTCCCTCCAGACGAATTCTAACTCGGGATTTGCACCGCGGTATAAGCGGGGGAGAGCGGGCGTAAAGCTGAAGGAAGCCGCCGGAAAGAGCCTTGGGGGGGGTGCGATGCACGCAAACCCGCTAGCGAGGAGAGTGCACACTAATCCGGTCGTCTTGGGGGGGTTTCCGAACGGGGGGAAAGCCCCCCCCGGGGGCAGGTTCGGCGTGCCAAAACCAAAAGAGGTGGTCAAGCCGGGGACTATGAGCAGTAGCGGAGCAAGCACGAACTTGGGATCGGAGACTTTGCAACGGGGGGGTCTTTTACCGGGCTTCGAAGGGGGAGGAAAGGGCCAGAAGCACAAAAGCGGGGGCGAGGGCGACGTTCAGGGGAGCCCGAAGCTGGCGAGAAGTTCGGAGACGGGAAAGTCGGGGGTGTCGTCAATCTGCGCTCTGGGGGGTAGGGATCAAGCGGTCGTGGAGGGGGGGGCTTGAGAATCTCGAAGACCTAGGTAGTGGTGTGAATAGGGGGAGTCCGTCGGTTCCGGCGCGCGTTGCTGTGTTAGACTTGTATAGTGTGGAGTGGTGTCACGTGCGCTGATCGCAAGCGAGTGGGCCCCTTATGAGGTGAGGCGCCAAAAGAGTATTGCGAAATGACTCTTAAGATTCGAAAGATCCATATATCAATCCTGCTGTTGCAGCTGCTGGTATCCGCCAATCTGATCCGCCGGAATCTCGAGGAGTGTCCTGTTTCTTGAGTGAGGAGGTGGGTTAATGTGAGTGATATCCTGTCGAGACCGACTTTTTGCCGCGCACGTTTTTCTGTGGCCATGTGGCCTTTTAGGGTTGGAAGCTTTGTTTTCAGAGTGTTTTTGAGGTGTCACAGAGTCAACGTTCAGTGTGATGTTCTTTTTTGTAACCCGGTTCATTCGTCTCAACCCTTTCTCCCTTGACATTTGTGCAGGTAAACGAAAGTCTAGGAGCTTAGGTACCATTTATTGGCTCTGCTACAAAGTCAGTGTATCGACTCGGCAATCCAACCGCTGGAATCCGGCTGGAGCGGTATACGTAGAGGGTACGAAAGTACTGGCTTACTAGGCAGCCTGTCCGTGTCGAGGTTTTAAAATCTAGCTCAGGTGTAACATAAATCCATTTTTGCCCAAAAACCTAATAGCGCTTAGTTCCTTCCGAAGCGGCACGCAATAAATCCGAATCGTGATGCTTCGAGTTTGCAGACATACGGCGAGTTATGTTTCTTGGTTTGAACCTGGCGGCATGCCGGAGGCGTGAAGTTATTGAGTGCAGTCAAGGGTGACAAGTTGATGGTCACAAAATATGGTTGGCTCAGCTTGGCCAATTTCAACATGGTTTGCAATCAACCATAATATGGAACGTGCAGCCTAGGACATATACGTTGTTTCCAGCGCTATACTAATATGATCAACGTGATGGTTGTGCCGCATACATAAGATGCACTGCATCACTGGTTCTACTTTTCAATCAGGCTTTGTACCGACCACCATGATCCTAGTAACAGCATGGCATGTACATGTTAGCTGGCATATACCTAATCATGTATACAGTATGCAACGAATCACCGTCAGTGCCGCATATGATGGTCGACAAACCATCTGCGCCGCGCCGGCCGATCGGTCTGCTGCAACCATGGGCTGGGCTGCACGGCCAAGGTTGTTCGAAACGAGATTCAAGTATATGCAGTGCCTCATGGATTCAATAATTTGGCCCACATACCGTCCAGGGGGCCCATACTATGATACCGGCCAATCCAATCAGACATGCAGTCCGTTCCAAGCTGCCGCCGGCACATGCGCCAGATCGGACTTGTGTTGATTATTGTGCATGCACCGGCCCTAGCAGAACAAGATGCCTTCAATTAAGGGTTGTTTGCCTGGCAGCTAGGTGGTCTAGTAGCTTTGCACATTATAGTACGTAGCCCGAACGCGTAGACTTATGATTGAAAGTTGGTGGAATCATGTGTATGGGGCCCAACATGTCTGATTGCGCGCGGCGATCCCACATGCAAGGACGACATTACGTATCGACGAGCTAGGTCGAAAAACGTCGAAGTTGGTCGAAGAACGCGCCTGTGGCAAATACTTAGCCGTTAGCCTCACCCAATGCTCAACTAGACTCGGCTAGAATGGACGCATTGAAAAGCCTGCGGCTTTGTCGACTGTCATGCAGCAGCGTACTTGCGGAATTTTTCAGTGGATGATCAATTGTTTCAACCTTGGCGCGTTCATAACCGCTGGTCTGATGTAATTGCCTCGTTCATTTGGACCCACGTGGACAACCGTAGTTGCATCCAGATGCAAAAGGTTCTGCGAACGTCCGAATCAGTGTGCGTGCACTTGGAACGAACGACAGTGCAGAGATCGATCATTCAGCCCAGTGAGTAATACCTCAAAGAGACCGTTTAAAAGTCAATTAACGGTCCCTGAGTTACCGGTATTTTTCGCCGAAACTTTCCAGCGGTGCCTTCATTCCGGTTTCGTTCCAGATGCTATCAAGAGCTGCTATGATTCGGCCAATTGACCGCTCGCCCCGTTGCCCTCGGCGATCTTCGGCCGTCCATCCTCCGTCACGTCTATCATCTGCTTCTCCCAGAACCGCAAACCACGTACGAGACTCGGGTTCCGCATAACCCGCTCGCCCTTAACCCCGCAGTGTTGGCACTCCACCACCCGCTTAACCACCCCGTCGCTCAGTAACCCCTTTCCCCGCAGGGGCTCCGTGGTTTGCCTAACCGTGCGGTAACCGCACCCGGGACACCGCTTCGCGCGGAACGGCACGGGCCACCCGACGAGATTCGTCCGTGCCTCGTTATCCCCCGTGCAGTCGAGATTCTCGCACACGTACGCGTAGTAACCCATGGAACCGAGCTCGGTTTCCTTTTTCACCCCCTCGTCTTTCAACTCATCCGGAGTCGCTAACCCGCGCAAAACCGTGTAATGCCCGCAAGCGCTGCACGCCGGGCCGGGCCGTTTCGTCCCCCGGTCGAACGCCCCGCTTGACCACGCGCTAACCTCCTTAAACCACCCGCTTAACCGGCTGCTCTTGTCGGCCCACGACCACACGAGAAACACGGTTAGCGCGACCGTAACCCACTCGATGTTGGTCCGCGCCGCGATTGTCGCGGGGTCCCTCCGCATGTTCGGCGGGATCGTTTTCCCCTCGCCGACCCAGACCTTTTCCGCGACGCTCGCGACGCCCTCCAAGATAACCTCCCCGACCGTGCAATTTCCGCCTGCCATTTTTGCCATCACCGACTCCCGCAGTTCTTCCACCGCCTCGCGCGCGCTCTCGTTCGACTTTTTGTCCCCCCACTTGTTCAGCTTCTTTTCTAACCCCGGGAGGACTTTGACTGCCAGCTGGCGCTTATACGGCACGTCCATTTCGATCCCCCCCCCTCCGTTCGCTCCCAACTGGACCCCCCCTGGTTAACATAAAGGAAAAGGAGGCCGTCTTCTCGGGGGCCGCCGATTTGCCACTGCTGGCACAGCTCCGTTGCGACCATGTCGGGAATGCCTAGAGAGAATCAGAAAGTGGCTTAACGCGAGTGGAGAGTTTGGAACGTCTAATGGTTCGCATAAAGACCACTGCTGGCGCACCTCCGTCGCGACCATATCCGGAATGCCTAGAGGGAATGAGATAGCGGGTTGAAACGACTGATGATTTGGAACTTTTAACGGTTCGAGTAGAGATCACTGCTGACACAGTTCCGTCGCGATCATCTTGGAAACGCCTGAAGAGGGTTCGAGGGTGCGTTGAAACGAATGACAAACTTGGAACGTTACAAGATTCGAGTAAAGCTTACTGATGACACAGCTGCATCACGACCGTTTTGGGAACGCCTGGCGGTAATCAGAGTGTGACAAAAGTGACTGAAGCGTTTAGAAGTTAAGGTGAAACCTCCTGCTTCTGGTTGGGGGAGGCTCGAACGGAGTAGAGGTTGGTTCTCAAACCTGTGGATTGCCGAGGGCTTACGAAAGCCCAAAAAATGTGACCGTACCATCTTCGAGTGTCAAAGCGCCTGACTTTGCTCCCAGACGAAATCAGAAGGAGAACAGGACCAACATCGGAACTTAAAAGAGGCTTGGTATTCTCCTCGTGACTTACCCTGTCTCCGCTCCGAGAACGCAACACGTATTGAGCGCAAGATCAACCTCGAGAATGACTTCCCATTAAATTGATTGTCTGTTTCATTGATGATCAAGAACAAGTGGCAAGGCCGAGTGAAAATCCAGCATTGCCCTATATTGCCAGACCCTGAGGACAGTAACAAGAGAAGTGCGCTGGACGTGAGAGGGTAGAAAGGGCTATGACAGACACCAGCCTCAGGGGAACTCCAGCCAAGCTGGCATGGTTAGGCGCCTTAACAGAGTACAAAGGTCGGGGACTGTTTACAGGCAGCAGTAAGAAAACGGGTTTCGTACCAGCGCAAAAGTTTTGAAGAGGGTTAGTGTGAAACAAGTAAAGACAAGTCCGTGAAGGGACGAAGGCCGAACAAAGAGTTGAGGAACGGCGAGCTAGAAACAAAAAAGAACGGCTCGACTTAAGGCCTCTCCTTTCATTGGTACTCTTGCTTCTGCTGAATCTATCAGAGGTAGGGCATCACTTTACCTACAAAGACCTGTCAGCCACAAATAAAGTCGACTCTTCAAGCTAGGTAAATGCACTGAGAAGCACGTTGAGCAGAAAGCTCAAACTTCAAAAGGGAAGTGCTTTTGCGTGCGTAAAATTTGCCACCCTTGCATCAGAGAGAGTAGTCGAACACGAGTGCCTGACAGCAACTTGAAGCTCGATGGATGAAAAGGTACGAAACTAACGCTATGTCTCAAGGGCTTTGTGCGCCGAAGAGAAGGCGCTGATGGAAGGCGTCCATCCCCCCGCAGCTTCAAGCATACCGACACGCAGAACTTGGTCTTGGAAAATTCTTTAAAGGGGCACCAAAGTGTCGGAACCTTTTTGCGCAGAAAAACATTTCACCGGGGGCCAACAAACCCAGAAATCCACCCCCCCAATGCAAAACATTCTCACCTGCGTGCTTCCCGAGTCCATTTATTGCCACCACCACGATCTCCGTCCCTGTATCTTTCTTCAGGCCCGTCACGATCTGGTTGATCCGAGGTGTCACCCAATCGGGGGTCAAAAAATCCCCTTGGTCTGACACCCAGTCCCCCGTCACTGGTCTTGGAATCTGCTCCGGAAGATAGTACACATCGAGCCGCTCCCTCGCTTGCACTCCCTTCGGCTTTTTATCATTAGCTCCGTCTCCCCCCCCT